GCAGACCGTTTTTCACTTTCTTTGTTTGTGTATGTGTTTTTTCCTTCTGGACTGTGTCTTCTTTCACAACATGACCAATATGGTAATATGTTTTATATGACTGAACATGGATAACCTATGTCAAATTGCTTGCTGTCTCAGGTAGGTGTGAGGTAAAGGATGGAGAGAGAAAATTTGGAATTCAAAATTTTTAAAAAATGAATGTTAAGGGGCAGCTGGGTGGCACAGTAGATAGAGCACTGGCCCTGGATTCAGGAAGACCTGAGTTCAAATCCGGCCTCAGACACATAAGACTTATTAGCTGTGTGACCCTAGGCAAGTCACTTAACCCAATTGCCTAGCACCCCCCCCCCCACAAAAAAAGGTGAATGTTAAAAATTATCTTTACGTGTAACTGGGGGGAAATAAAATATTATTTTTAAGCTGCTAATGGGCTGGCCTGGCTTGCCCACTAGGGTGCTTGACCCTGTCTGAGTCTCTTCCCCTGCCTAACTTAGCTGCCAAGCTACATCTTCTATGTACATGAACTGACGTGAGTGAAATGAGCAGACCAAGGTAGGCTGTTTTCATAACTACAGCCCTGTACACGGACAGAGCAATGACCGAATGAAACAATGCTGTGAAACTGTACTCCATCAACCAATCAGTACTCCACCCTTCTGCCCAGGAGGAGGAGGCACTGTAGTGACAAAGACAAAAAAGAAATAGTTCCTGCCCTCAGAGTGCTTCCAGTCTATCAGAGGGGACAGCATGTCCAGAGTAAATTAGATATAAAATGCCTACCAATTTAATGCATGAGTATGTAGCTCATCTTTGCCCACGCCCCAGGGGCAGAGAGACATGGCGGAGGGGATGACCTGTTGGATCAGTGACCCCACTTTCCACTCTTCTGGTCCCCTAGACTCTTCTGAGTGTGGCTGAAGATGGTACAAATCTCCTAAGACAAGATAATGGGAGATGGGGAAGAACTCTGGACACAGAATGCTGTGGACACTACCAGTCTCATTTGGTGGGTCAGCTAATTTTTCTGAGTCCCTTTTTTCCTCTTTCCTTTTTCCTTTTTATTTTAAAGGACAGCTCAATAGGTGGGGAAAGGGAGGGTATATTGGAGGAATGAAAGTGATGTAAAAACCAAAATGACCAACAAAATGTTTTTTGAAAACCAGTAGGCTGTGTCTCCTGCCCCTCCTCCCCAGACCCCAACACATTCCTCAAGTTTCCCATGGCATCTTGTGCTGTCCAAAGATCCCCTCCTAGTTACAAAAACTATGGGCCTGACTTTTTAGGCAGAGAAAAATTTGGGAGAGGAGGGAGGCAGGGGGTGGGGGGAAGAGGAGCTCCCAGTGTCTAATGGAAGAACGGGAGGGGTGACCTAAAAGCCAGGGTAGCCCACACCCAGATCCTCCTTCCATGAGCTGTAGCTCCTTAGCCCTGGGCGTGAGCCACCAGATTCCCGTACACACTTTACCGGACAAGGACGACCAAGTGAGCAGCCAGGGCCGCACAGAAATTCACCTAATCCTTCAAAGCCCCTAGCAGGGCCCGTGGGGGAGGGCTCCCAACGGCTCTGCACTTACTGCCTAAGCCTGCGCAACGCCCTCTGGACCCTGCTGAGCCCTCCAAAGAGTCACCAGTTACCTCACAGCCCCCAGGAGGGCTGGGGGATAACGGGTCCTACAGAGAGAGTACAGGCTGGGCCAGAAAAGAGGGCTGCTTCCTTCCTTGTGGTCAATCTTAGTGAAGCTTCATGTTCCTTACTTGATTAGATACAAAAGAAGGATAACCACAAGTGTCAATGTCTTCTGTAGCTGCTCCCCCAAGTCTCTGTGGGGACTCCTACAGTGCCCCCCCCACAGAGACCTCCCCACTGTCTCAAACAGCCTGCTGCTGACACCACTGTGTTCCTATGCATGTCACACACGTATGTCCAAAAATGTGGACATACATCTATGTAAATGCACTCCCAGGGACAAGCAGCAGAGCTCCAATACACTATGAGTAGGTAAAGGACTTGTCCAGAGTCACACCATCAGACAGGACTTGAACCCAGCTCTTCCTAACTCCAAAGACAGTCTATTGTCTGCTACCCTATGCTGTCTGTGTATCTCAGAGCCAAAAGACATCATAGGAATGGTGCTAATGTTTCTTAAAAAGGGGTAGTGGTCCCCAAGTTCAAAGGAAGTGAATGAAGAATACTCACTGGTCTACTTGGCTGCCTACTCATGTCCTACCTGCCTGCCCTTCTGCCTGCTAGGCTTGGATTTTTATTCTTTGGTTCACACTCCGAAAGATGTAGGTGGGGGGTGGAGCCAAGATGGCTGAGTAAAAGCAGTGACTTGCTTGAGCTCTCCCCCAAACGCCTCCAAACACCCATAAAAATAGCTCTAAAAAAATTCTGGAGCAGCAGAACCCACAAAAAGACAAAGTGAAACAAATTTCCAGCCCAAGACAACCTGGATGGTTGATCAGAAAGGTATATCACACCAGGCTGGGAGAGGAACACAGTTCGCCATGGGCACGCAGGCTGCAGTGAACCTGGAGCAGGCCTCAGAGGCCTGAATTGCAGGCAGCTATGGCAATTTCCAGACTCCTCAACCCATGAACACCAAAGACAGCTTAGAAGGTCAGTGGGAAAAGTCTGTTTCTTCAGTGGTGAGAAAGAAGCGCAGGGTCCCAGCCCCATTCCCCAAGCTGTGGCTGCCTCCTGAGCTTCCAGCCCACAGACTGAGGGAGAATTGAGTGGCTGATCAGAGGGGGATTGCAGGGACCTCTCTGCTGGTGTAGGATTCTCTTGCTTTGCCCATGCTTGGATCTGGGTCACAGTTCTGGGTGGTGGTCCTGGGGCGAGGAGGAGCACTGGTATGGCAGAGCTTGTAGTAGCTGTGAAGAGAAAATCCTCCTCACAGTTCCAAGACAGATAAGAGTTCTTGTGATCACTCATACAGCAGAGCACAGAACAGGAAAGGAGTAAATACCTCGCCCTTGATCATAGCACCTTAGAAGAACTGAAAATTTACAGGTCCTTAGAAGTATCTCTGAAAACAGCTGCACAAAACCCCTGAAGCTTGGGACAGTGTCCACACTGGAAACAGACCCCTACCTTAATGAAGAGTTTATAATTCAAGTAATTATCTGGGATCATGAGCAAGCACCGCGAAAAGAGTCAGACTATATTATCTTACTTTGGTGACAAAGAAGATCAAAACACACAGCCAGAAGAAGACAACAAAGTCAAAGCTCCTATATCCAAAGCCTCCAAGAAGTATATGAATTGGTCCCAGGCCATGGAACAGCTCAAAAAGAATTTTGAGAAGCAAGTCAGAGAAGTAAAGGAAAAATTGAAAGTGATGCTAAAGGAGACCCAAAAAAATCAAAGAAAATAACACCTTAAAAAATAGCCCAACCTAAATGGCAAAAGAGGTCCAAAAAGCCAATGAGGAGAACAATGCCCTAAAAAGCAAAACTGGCCAAATGGAAAAGGAAGTGCAAAAGACTACTGAAGAAAATACTTCCTTAAAAATTAGAATAGAGCAATTGGAAGCTAGCAACTATATGAGGAATCAAGGCACTGAAACACTAATCTGAAAGAAAGAAAAAAATAGAAGAGAATGTGAAATACCTCATTGGAAAAAAACAACTGACCTGGAAAATAGATCCAGGAGAGAGAACTTAAAAATTATTGGACTATCTGAAAGCCATGATCAAAAAAAAGAGCCTAGACATCATCTTTCAAGAAATGATCAAGGAAAACTGCCCTGGTATTTTAGAACCAGAGGGCAAAATAGAAATTGAAAGAATCCACTGATCACCTCCTGAAAGAGATCCCCAAAGGAAAACTCCTAGGAATGTTACAGCCAAATTCCAGAATTCCCAGGTCAAGGAGAAAATATTGCAGGCAGCCAGAAAGAAGCAATTCAAGTATTGTGGAAACACAATCAGGATAACACAAGATTTAGCAGATTCTACATTAAGGGACCAGCGGGCATGGAGTATGAAATTCTGGAGGGCAAAGGAGATAGGATTACAACCAAGAATCACTTACCCAGCAAAACTGAGTACAATCCTTCAGGGTAAAAAATGGTCATTCAATGAAATAGCAGAATTTCAAGCATTCCTGAGGAAAAGACCAGCGCTGAACAGAAAATTTGACTTTCAAATACAAGACTCAAGTGAAATATGAAGAGGTAAACTGGAAAGAGAAATCATAAGAGACTTATTAAGGTTGAACTGTTTACATTCCTACACAGAGAAAGATGATATTTGTAACTCATGAGTCCTTTGTCAGTATTAGGGTAGTGGGAGGGAAAAAATTACATGTATGTATACATAGATAGATACAGGGCACAGGGTGAGTTGAAGATGAGGGGTAATATCTGGAAAATAAAATTAAGGGGTGAGAGAGGATTAAACTGGGAAAAGGAGAAAGGGAGAAGTAGAATGGGGTGAATTATGTCAATGAAACAGACAAGAAAAGGCTTTTACAGTGGAGGGGAAATGGGGGAAGGTGAGAGGGAATGAGTGAATCTTAATCTCATAGAATTTGGCTTAAGGAGGGAGTAACATACACAGCGGGGTATGGAAATCTATCTTACCCTACAGGAAAATAAGGGGGAAGGGGACAAGAGAGCAGGGGGTTGATAGAGGGGAGGGCAGATTGGGGGGTGGGGATAATCAAAAGCAAACACTTCTGAGGAGGGACAGGGTCAAAAGAGAGAATAGAATAAATGGGGAGTAAGATAAGATGAAGGGAAATATACTTAGTTTTTCACAACAAGACTACTATGGAAGTGTTTTGCATGACTACACATCAATAATCTGTATCGAGTTGCTTGCCTGTTCAATGAGGGTGGGTGGGGAGGGAGGAAGGGAGAAAATTTGTAACTCAAAGTTTTAAAAACTCATGTTGAAAAATAAAAATAAGTTTAAGAAAAAAAAGGAAGATGTAGGTGGTTGGTTATTGTTTTTTTTTTTATTATAATACATCAGTTGTGTCTCCTTATTCATCCTGTGTTTTTTGTACTCTCTGAGTCAGCAGGTCTTACCCAGATTCATTCACTGGTCTTGGTGTCATCCATGCAATGTTCCTGTACAGGCGAGGTGGCTCCTTCCACTTCAGCTGCCCAACTGAGAAGTTAGAAAGACTGTCATAATGGCCCATGGGCATCCTCTCGGGGCCACTCTGGTTCACTCTCCATTTGCTAGTCCACATGTGGCAAATGGCTGGCCCTTTGGGAATTTTCTCCCTCCCTCTAGCCCCAGACGTTGTACACTGTGCCATGGGCTTTCACATGGCACACAGCCCCCAGGCCGGCAACACCTCGCCAATCCCTGCCTCTGTGATCTCTCCCAGGCAGCACAGCAGACTCCCCTGGGCCACAGACCCATCTCAGGTAAGCAGACTGACCAGCAGTATCTGGAGCCTGACAGCTTTGCCTTCTTGGCTTTTGGTGAATAAAAACAAGGCACACTCATTGCTGGAGACAGGAATCAAGACCCATGAGGCACAGAAGAGCATGACTGAAGGAACAAAAAGACCCTATTTTCCTGGTTGGTAAAATGGGTGGGTTGGACTCGATGCTCTCCTCCACCCCTTCCAGATCTCTGAGGAGCAGCCACAAGAGGCCCGTCTCAGATTCCTTCCCCCGTGAATCTCAGTAAGAGCTCTGAGCTTTGGGCAGCTGGTGCCCAGGGCCAAGTAAAGACAGTCTGCTTTGGAAGCAAACCCTGGAGTCCTCCAAGTCAGCTCCCTCCCCGAGCTCACTAGACAGCTCCTGCTCCTCCATGGGGCCTTGGGGAGGTCTTCACTAACGTTTTTTTCCTTCAGGGATCCTACTCAGACATGGACAATTAGGGGCTTGTGTGTTTTTGACAAATGCACCTTTAGAAGAAAACCCAGTGAAATCAAGAGCAGCCTGCTGGCGATGTGGCTGTGGTCCCCTCAGCCTGGGCTTATGGGAAAGCTCTGTACAGTCAGCAGGGCTGGGACGCTACAGCTCCAGGCCCACACCAGAGGCACTGCCAATGGCCAGGGTGCCAGGGGACATGTTCTTCAGGCACTCCAGGTGCTTCCTGGCATCGTCCTGGTTCTGCCGCACATAGTGTATGATGTAGGTGATAACCATGGCAAACCAGCCAAACATGGTAACGAACATGGCGACGTCTGTGGTCTTGTGGCGGGAGCTGCAGAAGTTGGCTCCTGAGTCGAGGACTTGCACCAGTGGCTTCCCTATGGCCTCTTCCTGCACAGATGTCTGGCAGGCCATCTCATTAACAGACACGGGGTCCAGCTTCACCTCCCAAAGGACTTCCTGCAAGGTGCATTCACAATGCCAAGGGTTATGTGACAGGCGGATCTTAGCCTTCAACCTGGCTAATGCCTCCTTGGGAAGGCTCCGGAGATGATTGTGGGAGAGGTCCAGCAGCTTGAGGCCACTTGACAGGCCCTGGAAGGCCGCAGTATCCAGCTTCTCAATCGTGTTCTGAGATAGGTCTAGTTCCTGCAGAAGGGTCAAACCCGAGAATGCGTGGCTTGGGATGTGGGTGAGCTGGTTGGCATCGAGCTTTAAGAACACGGTGTCCTTGGGGATGTCCCTGGGGATTTCCTTGAGGTTCTTTGAACTGCAGTGGACAGTCATCAGACCACTGCCATCTGAGCACTGGCAATGTGGGGGGCAGGAGATGCCCAGGGGGAGGTAAAGCAGGAGGAGGAAGAGGCAGAGAGCCCCTCTGGAGGGCACCAGTGCTGAAGACCGAAGGTCTGCCCCTATCTGAAGCATTGTGATCATGGTGCAGAGAGGCTTTGTTGGATCAGCATGACAGCCACGTTCTCCCAGAGTTGACCGATCTCTGCTTAACTTAGCTTCCATCAATCCCAAGCCAATCCACAGGGATTCTCTAGAAACAGAAGGCTCGCCACCTTCTCTGATGTCCCCAAATGTACCATTGCCAATCCTAGACAGAGACAGAGAGACAGAGACAGAGAGAAACAAAGAGACAGAGAGACAGACAAAAACAGAGAGACAAAGACAGAGAGACAGAGACAGAGAGACAAAGACAGAGACAGAGAGACAGAGAGAGACAGAGACAAAGAGACAGAGAAGTGGGCAGTCCCAAAGGGACTTTAGTGACTGTACATGAAAGAGCCTGAATCTAAATAGGGGAGTGGAGAGGTGGGGATGCATGAGCCACTGGATGAACTGGGCTCTGGGATGGGCAGAGAGGTGAGCTTCCCTCTATACCTGTCACCCACTGGCAGTTTCTTTCCCCTGTTAAAATCTGCTCAGTTGGCCACCACTCAACATCAAGCCAAGGCAACAGGTGTGTAGTAAGTGCCTCTATGTGCCAGGCTCATGCGAAGCACTTCGGGAAATCTGGAAATTAAACTCAACCCTTGGATTTCTCTGAGGCAGCCTGGTATGGTGGAAAACAGCAGAGACTGGAGTCAGGGGATCTGTGTTGGAGCACCAGCTCAGCCACATCTTACTTGTGTGACTGTGGCCAAGTCCCTAGCCCTTTCTGCAAGCCTCACTTTCTTCCTCTGTAAAAGGAGGGGGTTGTATTACATGGCTTCTTAGGGGCGCTTACAGTTCAAGGTCCAGGGTCCCAAGAATCAGGCTGAATAAAAGTAGGGAGCACCATGTTAACTGAATAAAAATCGGGAACTGACTCCCTCCCTCACATTGGTCATGAGATTAGATCAGAGCTTCCCCACCAAAAGCAGGAGGTCTCTGCTTTTGCAATCCTGGCTAGGTAGGCCAAGGTTAGAGACAACTTTCACTTTGGGGCCAGTAAGCAGCCAGAAGTGGCCTCCTGAGAGGTGGCCTTATAGCCCCCAAGTTACTCAAGGTCACCTCCACTAGAGACAAGAAGTCACAAGTGTTCCCTTCCCTCAGGAACCTGCTGCCTGATTTCCTACATCTTGCTCTAAGAATAAAAGGGGAAGGAACCCATGCCCTGTCCTCCCTGTCAGCTTTCCCTGAGTCAGGCATCTGGGAAGACACTGGCGGTACTATGGCAAGAGAGTATAGCCAAAGTCCCCAGGGCTGGCCAGTCTGAGGGCACCCAGAAAAGGGCTGGAAGAGCCAGCCTGGGTTCACTTTCCTTAGGGGTGTGTGTGTGTGTGTGTGTGTGAATGAGGAGTATGAATTTGTGTGTGCATGTGCACATGTGCACGGCCCTCACACACATGACCCAGAGGCATTACCAGCCTGGGACTCTCACTCACCTGTCAAACCAAAGCTTAAGGAAAGCAGTTTCGAAGGAAGGCTGACCTGAGGCAGAGGGCTCACTGCCTGCCTTCGGGAGGGCATCGGCGTCGGAGCTGGGACAGGCTCTGGGAGGGGCTGGATTTTGGGCAGCCCGGGAAGGGGGCTGGAGCTCAGTCACTTCTGGCGGTTGCTTCTTGGGGTGCTCCTCAATGCAGCGGTGAGAGCCTAAGGGATTTCTCTCTCTCTTTCTCTCTCTCTCTCTCTCTCTCTCTCTCTCTCTCTCTCTCTCTCTCTCATCCTCTCCTCCCCCCCCTTCCCCGCCCCACCCTGCAGCTCCGCGTTTCCCATCTCCTCCACCCTAACCTCCCCCTCCCTCCTGACCAGGACCTGCCCTGATTCTCATTGGATTGATTCCTCCGTTCTCCATCCTTCCTTTCTCTACCTCCCTCCTTCATCCCCGCCCCCATCCTTCCCGCCCCCATCCTTCCTCGGCCGGGTCTCCATTTCACCTACTCAGTGTTTGATCGGGGACATGGGATTCAGATGGACCCCAGCTCTCCGGCTCCAGAGCTAGGGAGGGGACATTCATCCCATCCATCCTTGGTCTCTCCTTTCCCCAGACCAGGCGCTGGCTCGCTCTCTCTCTTCTCTCTCTCTCTCTCTCTCTCTCTCTCTCTCTCTCTCTCTCTCTCTCTCTCTCTCTCTCTGTCTCTCTGTCTCTCTGTCTCTCTCTCTCTGGCTGTCTCTCTGGCTGTCTCTCTGTCTCTTGTCTCTCTCTCCCTCGCTTTTCGATTTCTTCTTCTCTCACACCAGGAGTACTTTTGGAGCCCCACCTCCCAGCCATGATGGGAAATCATCGCTATCATGGTAGGGGAGCGCTAGAGTCCCACTCAGAGAGTGATAGAGGAGGATGCCTAACAGCCCCCGCCCTGGGACTGGGGCTGTCTGCCTTCCAGCCTGCCCTGGCTTTGTGCTCTAGGATGGGGAATAACCCAAAGGGCGCCGGTCACTAGCAACATCACATGTGAGGCAGTTAGCATTGCTGGCTCTGCTAACAAGCTAACATGGAGATTCCAGGGAAGGTGGGGGGACTTCCAGCCCTCGCCTCTGCCCACACCCCCGTCGAGCTGTTCTCTGGTGACTCTGGGGTGGGGAGGAAGGTGCTGCTGCTGCTGCTGCTAGGCCTTCCTTAGCCCCCCACTCTCATACAATGCTAGCCCCTTCACAGTCGGTCAGGGTGACTGTCCCTGGCTTCCTTTGAAAATCCAGGATACTGTCACCTGCATTTTAATTTCCTTTTTGGTTTTGTGTCCAGGACCCAGGGTTCAGTGGGTGCTTGCTTCTTAAATGTTTGTTGAAGAGTGGATTGAGGGGGGGAGAGGGAGGCAGGAATAGGGAGGCTGCAACTTCTGCTTAGCACAAGAGGAAGCTATTCCAGTATTGACCTTGGAAAGGCCTAAAGCATTTCCCCCACCCTTCTTTTCATTCATCCATGAGCCCCTTCCCATCTCCACAGAGCTTGGAGGCACCTAAAGACTTGGGCCAGCCTCTAAGGACTCCCCAGAGAGGTTCTGCATTTTCCCAAAGTTTCCATGGGATAACTGGTCTGCCCTCAAAGATCACTCTGGTGCCCTCTGCCCTTCATCTAGACTGAGTCCCGGATCTTCATCTCCACAGGAGGCTAATTAGATTCTCCGCCTCCCTCCCTACCCCAGCCCCAAGCCTGATGATCTCAGTCACAGTCGTCCCCATGTGGCCCTGCCTGGGACCCAGAAGAGAGCATTGCATCTTGTCAGCCCATGTAAGCCTTTTCCATCAAAATCCAGAGCAATAAATTGTCACCCATCATTAGAAAGGAGCTTCTTTAATACTGCCCAGGTCCTTGACTTCCTCGAGGAGTCAGAGGCATGGGGCAGGATCTGGAGGCTGCTGGTTTATTCTGTGTTCATCATTGGGCTCCAGGATGGATCATGCACAAGGGGCCCCACCCAAGATCCAGCATGGGGAGCTCCCCGACTCTGCTCCTCTGGGACTGATGCCCCATAGTAACCCTAGCCTCCAAAAGTCTTTCTTCTCCTTTAGTGCACACCCCAACTGTGTCCCTCCTGGCCATTTACAGGATCAAATCTAGAGCAGCTCACTCTTCACTTTCCATCTGCAAACCTTCCCCCATTCCTCAGTCTCCTCTCCCCTCTGATGGAGGAAAGAGGGTGGGGCATTCAGTTCTTCCCAGAGGGCAGAATCTTCACTTTCTGTCTGCACAGAACAAGAAGCCTTTGGACCAGACATACCCTGGTATTCCCTGCCCTCCTTCCAGTCTCCTCTTGGGGTTGTCTTCCCCTAGACTGTAAGCTTGTTGAGGGCACGTGTCATCGTGCTCCTTGAGTCTGCCGCAGCTCTCCAGGGAGGAGGGAGGCACAGAGATTTCCTCACCAGGAAGCTATGACTGACAGTGACAGAAAGCAGCTTTTAGAAAGCCTTGCAATGTTCTTTTCCTTTTCATCATTATGGTTGTTTGGCTGCCTGGCACCCAGGCAGTGTTTAATGGATGTCACCTGATTGATGGGCTGATTGGTTCTAATATTTCACTTAACATCAGTTTATGCAAGCCTGCCCACCTGCCCTTTTCCCATGGTTGCCTCTGTCCTCCACCAGTGACAGCCTGGTTAGGGTGCCCCCCTTCTAGTCACCTATCTGGGTGTGGGAGGCATGGTGACTCACTCGCTGTCTCTGCTCTCTATCTCTATATCTGTCTTTCTCTCTGTCTCTATGTATCTCTCTCTTTGTCTGTCTCTCCTTCCCTCCCTCCTCTCTCTCTCTCCTCTCTGTCTGAGTCTTTCTGTCTCTCTCTCTCTCTCTCTCTCTCTCTCTCTCTCTCTCTCTCTCTCTCTCTCTCTCTCTCTCACACACACACACACACACACACACACACACACAGATCCATCTAAAACAATAGGTCTCAGGAGAGGATGTAGTGATGAGTCAGTAACTGAAGGAGCAGCTTTCTTGTAGCTAATTGGGACTAACCTCTTTAATATAGAACACACACACACACACACACACACACACAGAGAGAGAGAGAGAGAGAGAGAGAGAGAGAGAGAGAGAGAGAGAGAGCGAGAGAGAGAGCTCTGACCACCATCTTCTAGTGCCAGCCTGACTAAGGTGCCCCCCCTTCCAGTCACCTATCTGGGTGTGGGAGGCATGGCGACTCACTCTCTGTCTCTGCTCACTCTGTGTATCTCTATATCTGTATTTCTCTCTGTCTCTGTGTGTCTCTCTCTTTGTCTGTCTCTCCTTCCCTCCCTCCTCTTTCTCTCTCCTCTCTGAGTCTCTCTGTCTCTGTCTCTGTCTCTCTCTGTCTCTCTCTCTCTCTCTCTCTCTCTCTCTCTCTCTCTCTCTCTCTCCTCTCTGTCTGAATCTCTGTCTCTCTCTCTCTAACACACACACACATTTAGATCCATCTAAAACGATAGGTCTCAGGAGAGGATGTAATGATGAGTCACTAACTGAAGGAGCAGCTTTCTTGTAGTAATTGGATCTAACCTCTTTAATATAGAACTGACTCCCCCTCCCCACAGCTCTGACCACTATCTTCCAGTGACAGCCTGGCTAGGGTGCCCCCCTTCCAGTCACCTATCTGGGTGTGGGAGGCATGGCGACTCACTCTCTGTCTCTGCTCTCTCTGTCTATCTCTGTATCTGTCTTTCTCTCTGTCTCTGTGTGTCTCTCTCTTTGTCTCTCCTTCCCTCCATCCTCTCTCTCTCACCTCTCTGTCTGAGTCTCTCTGTCTCTCTGTCTCTCTCTCCTCTCTGTCTGAGTCTCTCTGTCTCTGTCTCTGTCTCCCTCTCTCCTCTCTGTCTGAGTCTCTCTGTCTCTCTGTCTCTGTCTCTCTCTCTCTCTCACACACACACATTTAGATCCATCTAAAACGATAGGTCTCAGGAGAGGATGTAGTGATGAGTCACTAATTGAAGGAGTAGCTTTCTTGCAGTAATTGGATCTAACCTCTTTAACACAGAACTGACTCCCCCCATCTTCCAGTGCCAGCCTGGCTAGGGTGCCCCTCTCTAGTGGGTCAATCAACAAGCATTTGTCAAGTGCCTACCATGTGTCAGGCCCTGTTTGAGGCACTGGGGATTCAGAGAGTCGATAAAATAATTCCTCCTTGAAAGAAGCTCACACTCAAATGTGGGAGGAGGGAGAGATGTCATTTGGCCTCTGGACAGAGCTCTCTGTCTAGCCCCTCCTTTTTCAGGCCCAGGGAGGTTGCACGACATGCCTGGAGTCACACAGCATGGGGGCAGCACCCTTGCCTCTATGGCTTCCTGTGGCGTCACCAGTGACAGACAGTCACTTCTCCAGCTCCTGGTTGAGCAGTGGTCGTGAAAGGAAAGCACAGGAGGAGGCCTGGGGAGAAGCCTGAGGGGCACTGTCTAGCAGGCATCAGCGGGAGGGAAAGAAAATGAGGGCGAGTTGGCTGGAGAAAACCCAGGCAGAAAGGGTGGGGGCAGGGCAGAAGCTCCCCTGGGAACTTGGCCGTGGGGGGTCCCACATCCCTTTCAGGCCCAACTCAACTTGTTGCTTTGGTTGCCCAAGTGGAGATGACTTGACAGCCAAGCCAGGGTCCTCCAGTCCTGTCCCTTCCCAGTCTGAGGACTCCTGGGTGCTTGTGTCTACACCTGGCCTCCACTGGGGATCATAAACTCCTCAAGGCCAGGAGGCACACTTTTTCCTTCTGTAGTCGCCACTTCACCCCCAGGACCTAGTCCAGCATTGGGCATCCAGTGGGTGCTCAGTCAATAAGCACTCATTAAGCCCCTACTGCATACATTCTGGCCAATGGACCAAAACACAGACTGACCATCCAAATTGAGCAACTAGTTGATTGGTGCCCATACTGACCAATGGACAGGCCAGCTAACCAACAGACTGACTGACCAGCCAACCAGGGAACTGGCTGAGACAAGGAACTGTCAGGGTTCAATCCTCCTTCCTTTCTAAGATCTACAACCCTATAAATCAACCAATCTACAAGGACTCGTTAACTCCTTGCTTTATGCCAGACCCTGGGCTGGGCACTGGGGAAACCAAGACAGTGACAAAACAATTCTGCCCTCATGGAGCTTACAGTCCATCTGCCGAAGACAGCATGCATACACAGTCTACAGGTACATGCAAACTATAGCCCAGCTGTGGGGGGGCTGTGAGGAAGTGACCAGGACATGGGCCCCTGCTGGAAGAGGGATGCTGGCCATT